TTATGGCATCTTCAGGTATGAAGACCATATACTTTACTCCTATTCAGACCATCCATTTCCCTCTCCTGTTCTGCCTTCCTCCTCTTAATAAGTATCTTCCTCCGCTAAGTAGTCCTCTTCCTAATTTAACTGCAACCACACTCCCCGCTTCTCTATTGATGTTTTGGTTAATAGACAATGTTTTGACATAAACCACAGATACTTTGTAACCATATTCAGACATGACTTTGCCTGCATCTTCAGCATCTGCCCGTAGTTTGCAGACAGCTGTTCCGTCTTAGAACACAATGAAGATCAAACTGATTCTGTCTTGGATGCATAGGCCTTTAGAAATGGGGTTCCCTCAGAGTAAATCTATAAGATACTTTCCTTTCTCCTATCAATTTCTTTCAAAGTTAATTTTTCTCACTCTTTCTTTTAAGAAAATAGATCTTTTCTTGATATAAAACAGTGCCCAGAAACTTACCCTTTTACCAAAAGTCTAACCATTTGCTCTATCTGTCTCAGATATCACAGATACTGAGGAGGTTTCTCTGACATGACCAGCTTCATCTATCATATCTTGCTTATCATTCAACACTTTGACATATCAATTACAGATGCTCTGCAACAATATACTGGAGAGATTTGTAAATCAAATCCGATGACTTTATAAAGTGTAAAAAGGTTGCTTCCATAAACAGGCTCTTACCGTTCAAGTAGGAAATGATTGGGAAGAGTTAATTAATAAACAGTCGGATTTTGTAGTACAATATTTGGCAGCATTTGTCTCTAACCAAAGAATAGAGTTTTTTCAAGCATTGTTTCATAGGCTAATAATTTGTTTTCCAAAGAAAATTTCATGAGATATTTTACAAAGACTTCACTGGGAAATGTTCAAATCTTGTGAACACAAGCTGAGACCCAAATTAAAAACCTCTCCATCACATCCAAGCTTAGGGGTGAAGGAGGGCCTTTAAATGATGCTCAGGCTCAAGTTCCTTAATTCAAAAATTGGGAAAGATGAGTGCTGATATTTGTCCCATTTCAGGAAAACTATCGATGTTAGATGAATAATATAAAAAAATCTGTAAAGTGGACAGAATACAGCAAATGGATAATAGCTGAAGACTTCACTGATTTACACATTAAATTGTCCCTGTGTTTCTTCACCACTCCTGCCTTATTGTTTTATATTATTCCAACCATTCTCACTACCGTATAGTACCACTTTCTGTCTCAGACAAAATTCATCAGCCTACGCAGTGAAAACTGTTACATACTTTCCCATCCAATTCCCTTGCAGACAATGATAAGCTATATTATCACTTTATGGTAGACATTTGGGTCCATTTTGTTTAATGAGACATAAAGACCGTTTTATACAGGATTCTGGCAAATTTGATTTCTAACAAGTAGAACCAGTTTATGGGTTGTTGCAATCAAACCCAGTTCTAAAATGCTTTTGTATTTATTGACTGCTTTCTGTGTGTTGTTACTAAACATTAATATAGAACCTCATTCTTTAAAATCAGGATTATGTTATGTTACTATTTCATAGCTTATGAAATAGGCTAAAATGACTCATTCAAGTCAATACTGCTATATTTAAACTAAGGCATGGATCCTTGTGGGATGCTGCTGAACATGTTCGGTCAATGTCTCTGCTCCTACTTCCAAGTGGGTATATCAATGGTTGGAAACAGTCATTGAAACCTTCGAATTGTTACAACATTCTTTGCTCTATGGTATGCAATTATCATTCTCTTTAATCTGATTGGATGATGGGTGATGAAGGGATAAATGAAGAGATCACATAGAGAAACATTACTCAGACCCCAATTTTGGCTAGTAGCAATTGATGTCTCCAGAACCAGGTGGAATGGTGCAGAGGAAGGTAGGGCCAAGATAGGAGCTGCTTATTCCTAAAGACCTGATTTTTTTGGCTTTTAGTAACCTACTGGAGACCTTCCTAAACCCCAACATATGAGCTCAATAGCACAAGGCAGAACTCAGTTTCTGAAAAGTAGAAATAACAGAAATAATTTAAAAGAAAACATGAAAACATTAGAGGCACCTCCTTCCTTTGTTCTCATCTGAACTCCAGTGTGACAGTATGATACACACTGACCTTTATGAAATTGGGATTTGAAGAAGAGGTAAACTCATAGAGTTGTGTCTTACGATGTGAAAAATAGTACGTTAGTGCTTTGAGCATTTGATTCTGTATCAAAGAGGAGCAATATTTTAGTTTAGGATCAGGTGGGAAGAAAAGAGGAAACGAATTTTAGGTCACATCCCTCGCTGAGGATTGCATTTGAAAAGAGCAGCAGGATGGGATGCACCACAAGAGAATGACGGCTTTCTCTGACTTCTTTCCCTCCACGTCCACAGCATATGCCAGTTCACATATCCTATTTGGTGACAGCAAGAAAATCGTTCTATAATCAGATCGTAGCCTATCTCAGCTAAAATCACACGGATTGGGTTTTCTTTAAGGTTGCATAAAACAACAACCGCTACCAAAGGCCTTTATCTTTTTTTTTTTTTGACATTGTAACACACCTAATTGTACTGACTTCTAGATTCAATTCAATGAACAAATGGAATTCAAGTTAACATATTGCCACAAAATCCTATCTCCAATCACTTAAAAATATAAGTTGATTATAGGATAGTTAAAAATATTGGCAAAATATCATAGAGAAACAGTATCACTATATCAAGATCTGTGATTAACAATCCATCCGCTTCTTGATTTGAGACCGATGGCGACAGACTGTGAGTGACATTTGTAACACAGAACTGTGCACGTTTAATCTCATGATCACTGCAAAATACCATGCACAGTGTAAGACAAACAGAAACTAAGCCCCAGCACCTTACTACCTTCTAAATTTATTTAGGCTAATAATCTGTTCCTATGTGTGACACACCACTGTGAGTCCAGCCAGGCACTAAGGAAAGAAGTATCTACAGAGAGGTAGATGAGGTTTCCACTTGCAGGAAGTTTTCTCTAACTAAAGTATGAAACAAGATGTGCTAAGACAATCTGGCATGATGCCAAGAGGGAAACCTGGAAAGAGCAGACTGTGTGAGCAGTGTCTTCCTAAACGTGCACTGCACTTTGGATGCTCTCTTAACTGTTGATAACATTCTATTTGTGTATATAGCTGACTTTCAGGTATTGAGGAATACTGGCAATTGAGAACCTAGTTCGTTAAAATTAATGGTTCTTAAGAAGTGCTTATTGTGTAGTGTACACTATGTGAGTATGTTATGTGGTCCTCAAACTGAGTAGCCATCTGTACTTCACAATCTCCATTCATGGGAGTGGGGGACTGAGCCTCAGAGAGGCTAGGAAAACCTGGCGCAAGTTATACAACTGAGCAATTTGTGCTGCTAGCATGTAGTTCCAGGGCTCTCCAACAGCCCTATTAGAACAATATGTTACTTTGACTAAAGTGCCTACTATGTGTTTCTATTTCCTACAGTCAATGCTACAAGATCCCAATTAGTCACTTGAAATTAATAAGGTACAGAGAGGAGATGCCAATGTCAGCACTGAAATGGAGAAAAAGCTGGTTGCATAGCATTCTTTGCCATCACTCGATGATTTCTTTCTAAGGAGCCTTCCCTGTTGGATTCTTGGTACTCAGACCTAAGCGAACAATTGCCTTCCCATGCCAGCTTGCCTGTCTTATAAATCATTTTTCCCTGGAAAGTTTTTATTTGTAAAAAATGGCTGATGAAAGAAATGTCTGAAAAAATAAATGTCGTAGGCAATCTGAAAAGCTGATTTTGCAGAAGTTTCAGGAGTGTTTTAATAGAGGTGTCAGGGAGGCAAGGAGGAAAAATCTGAGCAGGTTAGATATATGGAAGGCCTTCTAGATAGAAACCAAGACTCTCTGGCGTTTGTTGAAGAAGAAAAAAAAATGATACAACTTAGTTTGTCAAGTGTCTTACACAACCTACATGGGAAGAGATAAGAAATGGAAAGTAATGAGAAAATAATTTAGTGAGGTAGGGGTACAAGTTAATAACTCCAACAGATTAGACTTTAGGTCTAAATGTCTCCAAGGATCTTATCGGTCCATTCCAAACCTCAGCAGACATTCCATATTCGTCATCACTAGTGCTTTAAATAAGGAGAGATGACAGGAAAGGCTTCCAGCCGAGCTAGGCCACAGTATATGAGAATGACTCAAGCAATATCATTTAGATATTTGACTTCATTTTGAAAGACACTTTTCAGTTGAAAGTTATTCAGCTTACATTTACTTATACAGTTTTAAGGATGACTATCAAAATTCAGCAGAGATGCTTTGATCAGCTTTCTGATAGGCGCTTCCTAAATAGAATAAATCTTTATTTGTAATCCATAGATCTATGGACCGGTACCTCCTTATTTCCAACCATCATCAATCTGTGTAGCCCTTCAATATCTTAGAATTTGATCTCAAGATTTATGATCTCTATTTTGAATCTATGGAAACATGATAAGGGTAACACTCAACTTCACTCACGCATTGGCTGTTGCACCCAGATCATTTGAAGACTGAAAGTACTTATTAACTGTTGTTTACGATATTAAATCTGGGGTGGAATGGGACGCTAGGCAATAAAGAACTGGGAAACTAAAGAACTTAGTAGAGTTGTATGCAGAGGCACTGGGTTGTTTTGCCCATTTAGATTATTAAAACATCTCCGTACAGAGTTTAACTTGCCCGTTATATCTAAAATATAGCTTACCTCTGTTCTCCTTGCTCTTCTGAACTAACTTGCCTTCTGATGTAACTCTTTTATTAGTCATCTTGGTGTCTGTGCTTCTAGCTTCAGCTTATATGATTTGACAATACTAATCAATCAGTCCTACAATAAACACTCAGAAAAGTTTTAAACCCTAAAGCACCCTGCCTGCTACAGCTTGAGTCATTCAGAGATCCTCTATTGAAAGAACACAAAGCAAATGCAGCTGTTTCCCTAGCAGCCAAGCCCTGCTACCCCCTCACAACTGTTACCTTAGGGTTTCCCCAGAGGAGCCCCTCCTCTTCCACAGGTTGACCAGGCTGCTGGATCTGCTGGCGGCAGAGGACGACTTGCCATCACCTACGTGCATGCGCACCACCGTAGATGTTGTAAAGGCGCTGCGCACGTTTCTCTCCGGTTTGGCGAGGATGATGTACACCTTCGGCACAAACATGCAGCCCAGAGCCACCGTGGCACTGAGGCTGACGGAGAAACACATGGTGATGATTTTGTAGTTGCTGCCAAAGTAGATAGGCACGAAGGCCAGCCATATGATGCAGGTTGTGTACATGGTGAAGGCAATATACTTGGCCTCATTAAAGTTGGCTGGGACATTTCTGGTCTTGAAAGCATAGAACGTGCAGCTCAAAATCAATAATCCATTGTATCCAAGAGGAGTGACCACCCCAAGATTGGTGGTGTTACAAATCAAGTAGACCTCTCGAATGCTTGGGTAGTCATGCATTATATCCGGAGGCTCCATGATAAACAGGGCCACGATAATGCCCAGCTGGATACAGATGAGAATGAAGGCAATCACTAACTGAGCGCAGGCACTCATGAATCTGGGTTTCTTGGTACAGATCTTCTTCTTGCTGCCTGCTAGGATCCTTGCAATGCGGTTGGTCTTGGTAACGAGTGCTGAGTAGCTCATGGCCGGAGAGAGACCGATGCCAATTCTCTGGAGATAGCAGTAAATCTGCTTGGGCTTAGCAATGAGGCAGAAAGTACATAAGTAGCCCAGGCAGATGCCCGCAAGGATAATGTAGCAGAGCTCTCGACTGGAGGACTTGACCACCGGAGTATCCCGATAAATGACGAAGACCACAGTAACGAACAGGGTGGCCAGCAGGCCGAGGCAGGCGAACACCACAGCTGCGATGGGCTCAGGGTCACCCCAGCGAAGATACTGTACCGGGATCAAATCACAACCTGCAGACACACAGACACATATCGAAAAAGAAGGAGAGGAATTGATTTGGCTTACAAGTTCTCAATTTACAAGCAACTGCTTTCGATTGCTTCAATCTGTTTCTCGTTTACCTTTCTAATTTCAGTCTCTCATACAATTTATTCCTTCAGCGATTCGTTCAGAAAAATTAATATTGTTAAGTGTTTGGTATGAACTCTCTTGCATTCTGAAATGAAGTGATGATAATCACTTTTCCTGTTATCAGAGAAAACTTGGTTGGCCTCTTTAAAATAATTGCTTTCACCTGGGATAAATCTATGGCGAAGTGCCATGGCTTTATTCTGAGCCAGGAGCAACCAAAGATTCCTACAGGAACCAGCAAGTGCTATGTGACAGAACATGAAACAGGGTATATTTGGGGAGCACAGGTTGTCTGTGAGCAAAGGGGAAAAGAGAGGATACTACAGTGCAATAGAGTGATGATGCACAGACTTGGATGAGGCTGCACAGTAGGCAGGTGGGCTAACCTGTGGGTCAGAGAATCTTAAGTTGACCAGAAGTTATTATTGTAAATGGTGTAGAGGAATGGCATGGACCGATTTCAGTGACTGCATATCAAGCTTGCTTTGACTAATATATGAAATCCCGATGAAATCAGGCTGTAGACAAAGCTGCAAACTATTTCGGAGTTATCTAAGGTGTTTTGAGGCATGCAGAAGTACATGAAAACAAAGGAAGATTTTAAAATTATTTTTTAATAAATACAAACACAAAAGACAATTGAAAAATGAAACGAATGATTCTTCTTTCTTGTACATCTACCCTTATTGCTTCATGTATCAGTGTTTCAGGTTTCAGATAGTTAACCCTTAGTACTATAGGCTCTACAGAGTTGTATGCCTGAAGTCATCTGCACACTTTGCAAAATTGCTTCTACTGGAAAACATATTTGTATTATCAATCATCATTAACAGATCCTTTATATAATTTTTGTGACTTCCAAAGTAAATATAAGTATGTGTGCGTGTGTGCATGTATGATGATGTATATAATTGTAGTGTATGCCTTTGTAAATGCAGGAGTACCCACACTTATGTGTAAGTATATGGAGCCCAGAAGAAGACTTAAAAAAGTGTGTTCCCTCTGCCTTATTCTCATGAGACTAGTTCTCTCACTGAGCTGAGCAGCTGAATCTTGCTTGGCCTTTTAATTAGGTAGTTAGGCTAGCTGGTCAGTCCTCTTCTGAATTCATTTGCTTTTGTCTACATCCTCACTGCGGGAGTTACAAGCATATGAAGTCATTCCTAGTTTCTTGAGTTTGTCCCGGGTATTTTAACTCAGGTTCTCATACATACATGGCAAGTGTTCCTACCCAATGAGCCACATCCTTAGTCTAGCAGTTAATCAATAACAAATACCATCCACTTATGCAATTTGGATCCATTCTTCCTATGGAGTCTGTTAATTGCAACACTTTAAAATATTAAACAACCTCCAAGACCCCAAGTCCTGTTCAGCAATGGTACAGTACTTCATAGATTTAAACATTATTTTAGCAGGAAGCAAAACATTCCATAATGCTGGCAAAAGACTTAGGGGCTAGGGCAGCTTGACACAAGTCTGAGGAACTGAGGTCAGTCTGCAGGCCTCATACTACAGAAGGAAAGAATCAATTCCCACAAGCTGTCCTTTAACCTCCACATGAGGGCTATTTCCTGCCACAAATAATAATGTTTGTATAAATGAATACTACTAAAAAAGAAGGCCCCAAATATAATTGTAATCTCTACCTAAAATGCCCGGATGATTTTATTAGTAACTACTTTAATCAGAAGGAGGGTTTATTCTCTTCATGTCTGAATGAAAGCCAGAGAGAACTGACTCTGTTTTTGAGTGTCAGGAAATACCAGATCCTAGTCCAGAAGTTGTATGAGGTTTTTATAATAAATAAGTCAGGTAAGTATCATTGTCTCTAGTTCACAGGAGGTGAGTGGGCATATATAATTGAATAAGATTATTGACATGCTGCAAATGAGATCATAACCTTGATGTTAGTCATTTATTTACTTATTTTAAATCCATTGAGGAAGGCAACTTTATCATCTAATCCTCAGAAGAATGATATGAGGCTACTCAGTAAAAATAAATCACAATAAATTGAGAATGTCTGCACTGTAAAAAGCAGGGGTAGTGGTGGCCACATACTTGCTTGATTGGTTGTCATTTTGTCATCAACTCATGCCCCTTCTAAGGGCTCTCATTGTTCCAAGCTTTTCAGTAGGGTCTCACTATGGTGCGTGTATCCTGAGGGTATCTGACCAGAGATGTGGGGTAGCTAATCTTTCTTATTTTCTCCCTAAAATTTTCTAGCATAGGACACCTACAACACACTTGTGACACATTCCTCACGTTGCGAGAGTAGCTTCATGGTCATTCATCACTGAAGAATTTTGATGTGGGATTTCCCTCTGTGTGCTGTGAATACCACTGGTTAATAAAGAAGCTGTTTTGGGCCTGTGATAGGGTAGAGCAGAGCTAGGTGGGGAAGATTAAATTGAGTGCTGGGAGAAAGAAGGCGGAGACAGAGAGAAACCATGTAACCCTGCCAGAGACAGACACTGGAACTTTACCTAGTAAGCCACAGCCTTGTGCCCATACACAGATTAGTGGAGATGGGTTAAATTAAGATATGAGTTAGCCAGAAATATGCTTAAGCTATTGGCCAAACAGTATCGTAAATAATATAGTTTCTGTGTGGTTAATTTGTGATCTGATCAGCTGCGAACTAACAAGCGGCCTCCTACAACAGAATTTCGTACCCATCATAGTTTATTGCACACCTTTTATTTTAGATTCCTTTAATAAAACTTTTTGAATATCTGACAATTCAAAGATAGTTTTGTTGATGTTTTTATTGCTGTATTTTATAGGGAGATATGAACTGTTACACTAATATTTATTTTATAGTTAAAATCTAAGTAATAATGTAACAGCGCTGCAGAATGCTGATGGGAAGGCTTATCCCAGATCACTATTTCAGGGAGCAGCTTTGAGAACTGTGACTTCGGTCGCACTGCTGTAGAAGTGTGGAAAGACACAGGTTGTGGATGGAAATAATAAGTGCAGCTAAGACACTCCTCTCCCTATCCACTTTCCCCTTAATTCTCATCACATGTTCTTCCATTTTGTAGATCCTCTCACAGAATGACTTTTCCCTGAGCCTGAGTGTCATGTTCCTTCCATGAGATCACAGCTCTCTCTGGCCTGTGTCAATGTTTGCTGGACTGTGTCATAGGTAGGCTGAGAAATATAAGGACAGAAACAATTTCTTTGTAATTGCATTATGGGTAGTCCCAAGAACAGTGCCTTGCATAAAACTGACAACTGAATAGGTAGATAGATGGTTGGCCTATCAGAGAAGGGATCAAGTGAGAAATAAGAGATGTGTCTTACATTTTCAGCTTGAAAGCAAGACTTCTAAGTTACAGGAGCATTTTACTCTACGTGTTTGTGCCTCAACACAGAAAGTGCATACAATAAGGCATTTCCTTAGCTATACCAAGCATTTGAATCTGTAGAAACCATTACAGAAATTCTCATGGATAAATACAGTGACCCAGAAAAGACAAGGGAAACAACTTCACAGAACTGAATCTATACAATGCTTTGAGCTATTTTAATATTTCATTAAAAGCACACATCAAAGACTTCACTTTAAAGCAGTCCCTGAATTTGACACATATCATAGCTAATTTTTATTTATGTTTTCTAAATAAAAAAACTTGGTGGTGATCAAGTTACTTTTCCTGTGTTTGCAGAGATTCTTGAGAAGCAGTTTTGTCCAGCTGGTTTTCCTTACTGGTGTTCAAAGGCTTTCTGACTTGCTTTCTAAGCCACTTGTACGCACATACCCTAGATTTTCCTCCAGTTTGAGACATGCTGGGATTTTCTGGAGCCTCAGCTCATGCTCCTTTTCTTAAGGCTGTTTGTAAAACCGTACGCATGTTCTTACACAAATGTTCTTACACAAATGTTCTTACACAAATGTTCTTACACAAATGTTCTTACACAAATGTTTCCTCCTGCGTTTCTCCCCAAGACTACTGACTTCTAATTGTTAAGTAATACAATCTTGTACGAACTTCCCAAGTGAGCTACTGTATGGTTTAACTAATTAATATGTTTGGATTTTTATTACAGAAAGAAAATATGGGATCAGCTCCCCAATACACATAAGAAAGATGCACGAGGGGAAAGAGGAATTCTTTTTCCTAACCACTAAACGATGGAAAATCATTCAAGCAGTGCAATTGGAGTCTTCCACCTGGTTCTGAATTCAATACGCAATACTGAGCATGAACTCTACTTACAATAGTGGGTCCGCACTATGGATTTATAAAGGAAGTCATTTGATCCTTTAGAGGATTTTCCAAATACTCAGCTTTGTTATTACAGTGCCAGGCACTGGGCTGAGTGCTTTATGGGTATTAATATGTTTGATAAAACATTATTATGATGTATGGGGCATTGGTTTTGTTTTTTTTTTTAATCAATTTTTAGTTAAGGAGACAGAGATAGGATAAGAAATGCAGAGCGTTTGAATGGAACTCCATGGGAAGAGTAGAAGGGATGTAAACCAAACAGGCAGACTGTGGAGACAGGCAGAGGGTCCCCGCTACAGCACAGACACAGTCACCAGAGAATTAGACTGTCTCAGGGAATCACTGCCGAGAAGCTCGATGAGGGCTTTTCAGAGGAAAGATGTTAATCCCTGCCTGCCTGCAGTCCATGGGCTGCCGTGGGAGCTCTGCAGAACAATATGTGGCTTCAGCAATGGCAGAATAATTATGTAGCAAGGAAAAAGGAGAAAGGAGAGGTGTGCACGTAAAACAAAAGTGACTCGGTGTCTGCTAAATGGCCTGTGCTTTATTACACTGTCCTATGCTCTACCTGGGGAAAGACAGGCTGTTATATCTTTCTGGCCTCTTCACATAGAAGTATTTTCAAGAAAATGGTATTA